ATTCAATTCAGTTCAATTTTTCTCCCAAACATTGCATCCAGTTTTGTCCTCCCTCTCTCGGTTTGTAACAGTGGGTGGTTAGTATCAAAGGTGTGTTACTTCAGGCCATCTAAAGCCAATAGTGACCACTATTTTTCAAAGTGTGTTCACATTCAGTGCTGAGGATGACTCTCAGCTACTACCACGTCAAACTTTAGCTCAGTATTTGTAAATTTGACTAAGTTGTAACCATTTATCTATTGGTTTAAGGTTAAATGATCAATGTTATTTTTACAACATATTTGAGCAAGAGATTTAAAACATTTTAATGCTCGCAAGTATTATTCGTTGGTTCTTTTTAAACAAATAAAACATTTAACATTGTTCTGCATTAAAGAACCAGTTCTTGAAAATGACTTAGAATGTGAGTCAAACTCAAGGCATGCGGGCTGAATGTGGCCCGGCGGAGCATTTTATGTGGTCCACAAGAGCTTCAAAGATGTACTAATATCTTGAAATAATAAAAAAAAATGCTACTTTAAAACTTATAAAAGATTTTGAAAAAGTTTTTTTAAGATCATAAACTACATCTCCTATAATGCATTTTTATTATTTTACCCATTAAATGGTAGCATTCCCTCCCTAGGTGGAAGTACACAGGGTCCTTGGACAACTGATAAATCACATGATTGCTCATGAAAGATGTGAAACTTGTAACAACCCTCTATTGTTTTGTGTCAATAAAAGCTACAAGGAGGTTTTTAAACCTTTGGAGAAGTTAGCTACTGTTGCTACAGAAAGCTGTCTCCCCTTGTGCAAGTAAAATCTAACCTTGGTGCTGTATCTATTTTGTATCTCTTCTCAGTTTCTCTGGGTTTTAAGGTGTCTTGAACCTGTCAACCACGTAGAGCTCAGTTATTGTTTGTGAGGTGCCCAGCTGTAGCAATGAGATGAGGAATGTGATGTTTTGTGTATAGTAGAAGTTAAACATAAAATATCATAGTTAACCATAACTGGTGATTTGAGGGTCACTATAATACTCATGTGGCCCTCAGTGAAAATGACTTTGACACTCCTAATTTAGAACAATGCATATCTAAGGAGGTTTTCCTTACCAGAACAGGTAGCAGCAGAGCCATGTATCCACCACAGAAGATAGCAAAGAAGACAGCGTACACCATCAGCAGCATGTAGGATGTGGCCAGAGGGGACAGCAGGTTGACCAAACCACAAAGGATCAGGTAGGCTTTGTGATAGTGATATTTATGGAGCAGGTTCCGGTCTGTTACCCACCCTGAGGCCAACTGGGCGATGGTCTCTGTGATACCTGGAACAAAAATGAAATGGTGGATGGAAGAGAGACGAGAAGCTGGGTAAATTAAAACTAAATGTGAAATAAAATAAAATAATGTCATGCCAGAGTTTTACACTATTAGCTGTGATTACTTTTTAAAAGTTTCATTTAAATTTGAACATTTCACAAGACCTTTAGCTAATGCTACAAACAAACAATTACACTGTGAACATGCAGACATGGGCAAAAACATTATCACCTGCCTTTTTATTTTGGGCAATAATGACACCCATCCTATAGTACCCAAACCCAGACCTGGTCTAGTTGTTACACACTTCATCTCCTGCATCTGATTGCATCTATTTCTGCTGGGACATGATGACTGCGCAGATATGGACTTTTCTCTGCTGAGGTCAACTGGAATGTGATAAGCGATGCAGAAACTGCAGCAGTGTATTGACTGTTGCAGGAATAGCAATAAGCAGGCAGCGCTGAGCTATAGATCAATGAAACAAACTGGTTTTGTGTGTATCAGAGTAACTCATCCTATGTAGAACCTCTGCAGTAGGCTGCATCCACTGGCAAACAAAACAACAACAAATCAAATTTTGTGCAGCAACCGGACAGCGTCTTCGTGGTTTTAAGGTTTGGAAAGAAGCCTGGATCACTCAAACAATGAGAGGCTTAATCGGCGAACACCTCTGCACTCCTCACCTAACAGGACCTAAAACGAGGTTAAATCGATGACATGAGGCAGCTGTGCAAAGTTTATGTGTTCTCGTTTTTGTGATCCGAGGAATGTCCCGGAGTGTCCCCCTGCTTGCATACTGAAAAGATGTGAGTTTGTTTGTGTGTTTTAGCCTCAGCAGGTTGGTTTAGCCCTGCAGCTGTTCCTGTTCCAACTCAACTCAAAGCTGTTTAAATTTGGCCTCTCCAAGTAGCAACACCTCCACCAAGTGCATCAGGGACATTGGATCTGTGCGTTACTCTCTACTGTGTCATCAAGTAAAGAAAGAGTTAAAGCAATTAACAGAACAGTTCGAGGGTTTTTGAACATGGGTTCTATGTTAAGGTTGTGAACAATTAATATCCTACCTGTTGTGGTTTGCTCTTTGAATAACCTCAGTTCAGTAAAAAGCGTAATTGGTTAGAAAGATGTTGTGTAAATACAGTCTATGTATCATTTATTGGTCTGAATGAGTGTTGAAACTTGTAATATGAGATTAATGTTGCATGACCACTACAGGATTCCAAACCTGGGTGTGGGGCCTACCAGCCGGTTAAGTAGGCCCTGGTCATCATGCAGTAGTTTATTTCGAAAGGATTATTAAGTGGAAACTATGGTCATGGGTGATCCATTGGACTGGTGAAAATGAAGGAATACTAGGATTAAGATTCTGATTTTAATCTCAGAATTATGACTTTTGGAGCTCTTTTTACTCTGTGGTTCTAATCGTCTTACGTAAATAAGCTTGGGTTGTGAAAAGCACAAATTTCTACATTCGTAGTAGGAATGGAGGAACAGAACGGGACAAGAAGAAGCTCCAATATTAGAAGAAAAATCAAACAAATAACAGTAAATCTGTAGTGTTTTCTTTGTGTTCACATGAACTACTAAGAAATGCTTGCAACTAGAACTTTTTTTAAGACAACAGTTAACTTTTGTCTTGGCCCCACTCGAACTGGCTGTTAATCTGGTCAGAAATAAAGTTTCTTCAACTCGAGATTAATCAAAGAGCTCTCTGCAACATGTAAGACATTAACTGTTTATAATTGTTTTACAGAACCCGAAAAAAAATCTGAACTACCCCTTTAAGCTTTTTGCTCTGAACGCTAAAAACCAGAGGTGTCAAAGGTATTCATCACTCAGGTAAAAGTATAGATACTAAGGTTTAAAATACTGAAGTTTCAACTCAAGCTTTTTACTTAAGTAAAATTGTAAAAGTACTAGTTGTAAAACCACTTAAAAGTATAAAAGTAAAGGTAATGGGGAAAAAACACATAAAAGACGGGGGTGGGGGGTGGGGGGGGGTTTGCACAATGAGCCACCCTAACCCATGGACTAAGAGAGGACATGCTAACTCTACCCAGAAAGGTCCTCAGGCTGGGATGCAATCCAACAACCTTCTTGCTGAGAGGCAACAGCTCTGTGAACTGAGCCACCTTCATATACAGTACGATGACAAGGCAGAATGAAAACAAGCGGAAGTGAAATAGAAATGAAATACTTTTTGCATTTTTAAAAAGTAAGGAGTAGAAAGTACAAATAATTGCATAAAAATGTAAGAAGTAGAAGTAAAACGTAGGCTGAAAAAGAATTAATCCAGTAAAGTATAAATAACCTAAATTTCTACAGTAACAACGTTTTTGTATTCACTACTTGACAACTCTGCTAAAAACAAATCCTTTAAGGTTGTTGCAGTAAACACTAAAAACAAATCACCTATCTTCACAGCAGTGACAAGAGCTGAGGAGAAGCGAGGTGAAAATGGCACGCAACACAAGCTGGGATATTTTATAAAACAAGGTTGAGGTGAAGCAGTTTAAAGCAAATCTCTGAAACCACTGCTGGCTTTACTTTCTGTGCTCCTCTGCAAAGTATCATCCACTTCAGAACTGGATTCAAACAGAACTGAGACCCCCCACCCCCCAAATCTCCACGCCAACTACTTCACTCAGTTAGCCGTTGCTTAGAGACTCCGGTTAGCCCCAGCATTGGTGACTGAGTTGATGAACACACTGACCCAGATGACAGCGGTCCCTCTGTCCTCAGACAAGCTGATGACACGGCCGGTTTGGAAAACGGGGGACAGCAGGACAGCAGGATGGTGTCTTTTGAGACTTGGGTGGCACCCTGTGTCTTAAACTCTGTCTCTTTTTCTTCTTCACTGCAGTCAGTGCACATGACCAGAGAATACAAGAACAAACACATCAAGGCCAAAGACTCTGTCAGTCTTGCTGTGTGCTGGCACAAAACTCATCAGAGCAAAGGGTTAGGTAAAACATTTAGACATCTATATTCTCTGGGTTTGTATTACAGCAATGCAGAAATGTTGGTTTGCTTGTGTAATTTTATACAACAGTATAGTCTGACTCCAATCTGTGGCTCGATCCATAAGTTGTGTTCTTCTTGTGCAAGCTCTAAAGTATTTCTCAATGCTCTTTCTGCCATGTTTCTCATTTTGTGCTGGCTCGTGTTGGACTGCATCAAATACTGACAAAGGAATTGCATAATTTTCCTGTCAATCACAATGTGAAACATTATTATTACCCTCTGCTGCGGGAAAAAAATGCAAATGTTTTTGCCCTAAGTCTGTGTGTGCACGGGTTTTTTAATTTATTTATTTTTTGTAGTGTTAGCAAATTATTTCCTGAACCAGTGGATGAGTTGCAATGACACTCACAGAAAGTAATTATTGCATGGACATCTACAACTGATAAATAACTGGAGTTTACCCAATTTAAAATTGTCCCCACAATTAAGCTGACTTAGCAAACACAAAAAATCTGTCTTTAACTCAGCCAACTTGACAGATTTTGAGCTAAAAGTTGTTGAGTGTCATCTACCAACGCATGCTTTGACTTCTACACATTGCAAAAAAATCTTTGCTAAAAACTTTGGCATAAACTATTAGGCTACAGTCAGAACTGCTTGTCTGTTAGTGGAATATCTCATGAACTGCAGGATGACTTTTAATGACACTTTCAAAAAGAAATTATCAGGTACATTATATGGGGCACCAAGTGTAACAAGTAATGTAATGTAATGAAATTTCACTGACATATTTTTCATTATTTAGCTCACTGTTTTTACATTTAGCTAAATTTTACTAAATTCTACATTTAAATGCTAAAAAATATATTTAAATATTAAATCCTGAATCTAAATGTGAAAGTTAAACCTCAAATGGCTGCATTTAGGTTCAGGATTTAATATTTAAATTGAAATTTAGATATTTTTGGAATGGAATGCAGCCTTTGCTGTTGGCGCTCGGCTCATGTTATGATGTCATCATCCTGAAACAGCATTCCATTTCAGCAACCGTTAGCTCTTAAATGCAGCTAAAACTTAAAGCTTATTTAAATATATTTTTTTAAACATTTAAACTTAACATTTAGTAAAAATTTGCTAAATGTAAGAACAGTGAGCTAAATAATGATAAAATGTTGGTGGAAAAGTTTAACATAAGTGAGCTAATTAATGAAAAATATGTTAGTGAATTTTTTTTATTTCCTTTTACACTTGTTGCCTCATACGAGTGTACGTCTACAAATGGTTTACTTTTGGAAGTGCACAGAATTAAGATGGCCAGCACAGCTAACCAAACTTAACCAACCTTAAAATGGCTATGACTCAGCCAGTTTTACACATATTTAGCTACATTTGGTGTGCCAGTAGTTGAGAGTCATCCTCAACACGTTGGCTGAGCATGAACACATTTTGTAAGACTGTGAAAGATTGAGCATGATGTCATTCACATGGTTTAACAAAAATGACTATAACTCAGTCCCTTCACATTTTTTTCAAAGAATGCTGGGACTTTAATAATTTTCTTTTTAATAAAAACAAGAAGAAAGCCTGAATTAAAACATTTAGAAAAAAAGTCCCATTTCAATTTAAACAATCTTATTTTATACTTTAAAAATGTCACTGAAGACCTCTAATTTATAAAAGTTAACATTAGTGAGGTTGTGTTTCTTTTCTTGTCTAAAAGACAAAGCATCTGAAGGGTTGTGAAAAGCTGAATATTACCAGTAGACATACTATAAAGCACAGGTGCACAACAGCTGCTTAATTATTTAGAAAGGCAGACAAAGTGCTGATGAAGAACTAACATGTCTGAGTGGTCAGTGGTCAAAATGTTAACGCTGTTTTCTGGTCATATGGGGGGGGGGGGGGGGGGCCCTCATCAATGGCAGACTGCTAAACCCACCCGTCCAGGCCAGTGGACCAAAGTTCAGCTTTTATGTAAGAGGATTCATTACATAAGACTGCAGAGTCTCAGCAGCTCACAAATAATTAATGCCTAAAAGTTGACTGAGCACTTCTTTGCATCATGTAGAAGATCCAGACTGAAAAACTGGGCCCACCCCTTAACAGTCACCGCAAAAGTCTCTGATTAGTCAAGACCTGCAGCTGACTGTCCACTGTCTGTTAGACCGGGACATGTGGACTCTGTGTAAGAGGATGTTTTATTAAATCACCAGTTTTGATTTTCATTAAATTCATTAAATAAAACTTGAAGTCTTGGTGATGAAGAGGTTTTACACATTCAAATTACTCTGTACTCTGAAGTCACAAAAATTTACTAATTTATATTTAACAAAAATATAGTGGTTCAGAAGATCTCATTGTACAGCAGTAACTACTGCTAAATATTTCTGATTGACTAATGTGAGCCTCACCTGCCACAGAGATGATAAAAGAAGCATCCATAGCATCGATGCCCAGAGTTCTGGCCCTGGCAGACAGGTGGAAGTAGGGGATGAAGTAAGCCAGCTGACTGAAGACCAACGACCAAGTGTAGATGCAAAAGAAGGGGTTCTTCAGCAAAGAAAAATCCAAGACTTTGGCTTTTCTGACAGTCACCTCACTCGGCAGGCTGGCTTGTGAAGAAAATCCAACCGTGGTGGACCCGTTCATGCTCCCGTTCAGCTCTGCTGGGCTGTTGGGAGTTGACGGCTTACACTGGCCTGAGTCATGGAGAAGCTCATGGCTGTTTACACCGTTCAGAACCAGTCTGGTCAGTTCAGGGTTCGGTGCCTGTCCTTGAATACATTCACCTGTTAGGCTCTCAGTGTCCCTGTGAGGTGGGGGAGAGGGTGGGAGAGGGTCTGATTTGGAGAATCCATTGGATAAAGGGGTAGAACCGTTCAAGCAGCTCTTTGAGTATTCCTTCTCTGGAGAACTCTTGATGGAAACAGCAGGGCTCTTTTGGATGGCTGAAGAGTTACGGTTCGAACCAGATGGCTTCACATTGATGGGTCGCAGAAGCATCCCGGAAGCCACTAGGTTCAGCATGAGACCTCCGAGAATCAGCATCGCTCCTGCGGGTGACACACACACGCAATGAAATCTCACTGACTCACTCCAACTCATTTACGTATTTGCTGTGCCTACCTTGCCAAGCGTACTGATCCAGAAGCAGCTGAGTGAATGGAGCGAGGGCAAAGGTCAAACCCATTCCTGAACGCCCTATTGCATACGCTGTCGCCAGTCTTTTCCTGAAGTACAATGCTGTTATCACTGAGAAAGACTGGTACAGCAGAGCAAAACCCATTCCTAAGAAGAAAAAAAAAGTTACATGATATTCAAGTGACCAATCAAAAAGCTGTTTTCAGCTTACAACACAATTTTAACTTACCGACTATCAGTCCCATGCTAATGTAGAGGAAAACCACGCTGCTGGCAAAAATGCTCATAATAAAGCCCCCGCTAACCAGCACAGCCCCTGTGATTGACGTTACTCTTGCTCCCAGCTTGGCACAGGCCACAGAGGCAATGGGTGCTACAGAAGTGACAGAAAAAGATGCACAAAGTTAAATCGATGTGGCTTAAGGGTTTCAGTCATGAAACGTCCAGCTGGTTGACTTTTATACCTTACATGGAGAAAACTTCTAAATTTAAAAGAGGAAGATGTTTCTATGACATGATGAATAAAATCTAGTTCTTTGACTTTAGCAGTTAAACAGGTAAACAATTTTCTTTATTCAAACCTCCAGACAGACGTAGACTGGACATGATTGAACCTATCCAGCTGATGCTTTCTGATGAACCTCCAAACTCATCTTGAAACGCCACAAAGAAGATACCAAAACTTTTTAGTGTTCCCATCACAAGGACATTCACCTGCACAGACACACAAATGAAAATGGATAGATATGGCGTTTGGTATCTGCTGTCTAATGCTTTCATACAAAACATACTTTAAAACACATAAAACTGCTGCAGTTGTGTGTTCAGCAAATGAGGGAATTACCCAAATTTAGACATTTAAACTGTGTAAAATTAAAATGCACATCTTATGAAGAAAACCCCCTTCTGGTCAGGGAGTCCTTGCCTTCGGGGGAGGAGTTCAAGTATCTGGGTGTCTTGTATGTTCGCGTTGCTTTGGTGGGTCGTGAAGAAGAAAGAGTTGAGTTAAAAGCTCTTGATTTACTAGTCCGTCAACATTCCAACTCTCTGGTCAGGAGGTATGGACTGAAAGTACGATATCCAGGGTACAAGCAGCTGAAATGAGCTTCCTTTGTGGGGCAGCTGGGCTCAATCTTAGAGAGAAGGGGAGGAGTGCTGTCAGTAGGGGAAGCTTGAAGTAGACCTGCTGCTTCTTTATATTGAAACAAGTCAATAAAGTGGTTTGGGTAACTGATCAGGATGCCTAAAGGACACACCTCTTTGAAGTATTTTATGGGCAGGTCCAACAGGGAAGAGGCAGTGGAGGAGCCAGACAGTTTTAAACAGTGGAACCATTGGTCTCACAAGGGTGGCCTAGAAAATTAATTTGTTTTCCTACATGGCAATTTGCTGAGGATATAATTGTGTTTCTTGATCATTCTCTCATTTATTTTCACAGAGTAACTGCCATGTAGAATTACATAATGAGAATTACCTATTTGAGCATTGCCGTTAAAATGAATATTCCGTGTATAGAAAAAGTTTCACCAAAATTCTGCAGGCAAAGCAGCAGTTGGGGTGGCTGAAGATTTTTCTACAATGGTCATGGCCACCCCATCCGACCTCCTGGCTCTGTCCAAGAGGCCCAGGCCAGGTGCAGACCCAAGACTCACTGGAGGAATAATTTCATCCCCCTCTGGCTTGGGAATGCCTTGGAGATCCCCAGGAGCAGGTGGTGAGTGTTGCTGTGGAGGGGGATATCTGGGCTTCTCTCCTGGACCTGTTGCCTCTGTGACACAACCATGAATTTACATTCATCAAGCAGAAACCTGTAGGCAAAGGTACTAATGTTTGAAGAAAAACAGTCTAACAATCGAGAAAGACAAAAAAAACTAGTATCAACACTGAGCAATAACATTCTTCAAAGCAGAATTAGAGGAGGTAAAAAAGTGCAGAGTCAGCCTTTGAACCAGACTTTCATGTTCTGGACCAACTCATTCTGTGAGACTAAGGAAGTAAGCTAAATCTTGGTCCTAAACCTAACCCCCTACCTGTAATTTGCCTTTGGACCCATGGGGACCAATTCCCTTTCCCCACGATGCACTTCGGTCCCCACGAGGCTGCTTTTTTTGGGAAAATTTTCCCTAAGGCTAACCTCACAGGTACCTATCTGACCCTAAAACTAACCTAAACTCAATTCACACCTTGGTCCTAAAGCCAACCCCCAACCCACCAATGTCATTTAAACCAAATGTGGATGCGGCTTTTGTCCTCAAATGCACCAGTTGTCAGCAAATGTAAGCATTTTGTCTTAAAATTGCCCCCAAATATCACCAGAAACAACCCCCCGCCCCCGCCCCACACACACAACAAAACAAAAACAAAAACAGTTTTAGAAAAATACTGACAATACTGTCAAAGATTTCATCACCTGAGGAGACTGTCTTAAAGTGGCTTTAGCCATGTTGAATTCTCTAACAGATCTTGAACAAAACAAACTTTTGTTAAAGGTCAACCTACCAGGAAACAATGCAGCACCACCATCCAGCCCCACCCTCCATCTGGAGGGTCCTCATACTGGATTTCTTTCTCCTTGTCCTTCTTTGTGCTCATGGCATCTTTCCTGAACAGATTCATGACGGCCTCTGTTTCACTGGAGGCAAACGGAAACAAAACAAAAACACACACAGTTAGAATGATAAACCATCTCATAGTGAAGGCTTTTTTAATGACACATTTTGAAGAAAACAATGCACGTTTCTATGAATTTTATCCATGTTTCAAATAATCTAATCAAAGTCATTTGGAGCCAGTCCAAAGTGAACTCTTTATCAAGACCTACTGGAAAGTTTGAGGAGAATTTAACAATATTAGAGATAAGAAGTTATTTTGCCGGCTGAAATCTGAATGAATGGACAAGATCATTTCATTTTTATCAGTAGCTTCAAATGCATTTCAAGTCTACATTCAAACAAAAACATTAAAAACCATTTTTATATACATTATTAAGTATTTTTCTTTAAATAAACAGTTTCCCTTCCACTTTTTTTCATGCCTTCAAATACATCAAGTGAAATCCCATTATTTCATGATAAAACTGGTCAGTCCCAGCACAACCTGCAAAGCTTCATCGCTTCTGTTCTCACTAATGTCTGAACAGTGTTCACATTAAGTTTGTATAGTTGACGAAATATTTAACACTTCTGCTGGGTTTAAATGACCCAAAAAGGCCTACATTTTAAGGCCTTGTGAGACATTTAGACCCAAGAGCAGCAGGAACAGTAAACATATTTTTATGCCTTCTGTCATGAACAGCATGTTCTTTGCAATGTTGGGCTGATAAGAAATTAACTCTAGTTATCAATCCATTGGCTTGCTCCAAGAATAAAATGCAATAAGTGATCTAAGAAAATGTAAAACTGGACTTATCAACTAAAATTTGGATCTGAAACACAGTTTTTTTTTTAAGTTTACATGACTCAGTCTGAAAAACACTTCCTTTAGTAAAGCTGCTGTTGTTGGGAGATTTTCATAGTCAAGATACAATCTTTGTCTGGAACAAATGTTGCTTTAAAATCTTTTACAGTGATTAACAGCATGTGCTGACTCTTTTATATCACTGAGCAGCAAAGTTAATATTTGCATTTGTTGATTTGAGAACAGGGTTTGTCTTTGTTGTTCATTGATTAAAGGAGGTTTGGACTACTGAACACATAATTAAGTCATTTTGTGGCAACTTATATGATTCTTCTGTCTCTCGGATGTAAAGGCTTTGTGCTAATACAGAGGGCACTGAAGGTCACCATGCATCCAGGTCATCAGGTATTTATTAAAACTTCTAATTTAATTTTAAGAGTTTTGTTAGTTCTCTTCTGGACAGACTCCTTGACAGTCTGAGTTTGATTCCCAACCCTGTTGTGTTTATTAAGGAAGACCCCATAAACCCCACACCGTCCCCCGATGTTTCTAGAAAAAAAGTGCAACAATAAAGCACAAAAATACAATGAAAGAATTGAAAAAAGTAAATGAGTGAATGAGAAAACATTACAAAGCTATTTCTAGAACAAAACACTTCCACTTTTTATAGCTCTATAAGGAATATGCAATATTTAAAGGTTTGAAAATGACTGGAATAATAACAATAATAATAATAATAATAATAATAATAATAATAATAATAATAATAATAATAATAATAATAAAAGAAAAAAACTCCTCCCTAGTTTTTTAGCAACTGTTCCAATGAGTGACCTCTGATCAGACCAGAGGAGCTGATTGGTCAGATCAGATTGACTTATTTGGTGCAGTGTCTCCTGGCCTCAGTTTTAACAGCTCCCCACATCATAAAAGTGTTAATGACTTGTTTTTTTGTACAGAATATCTCAGCACAGGTAACTATGGAAAAACCTGAACCTGAACAATCACTGACAAATATATGATTAGAACTTGATATGAAGACAGCAAATCAAATATGCACAAACAGAAGGTCAACAGATTGATAAAAATTGATTACTGGGTTTTTTTTTTCCACCAAAGGGCTTGATTAAAGCCTTGTTCTTCTAACCTACATTTGGCTAAAATTGTGATTATATTGCACAAGCTGGGTCTCTCTCCATCAGCGTGTTTTTATACATTTGAAGCTGACTTCAGCTTTGATAAATGGATCTGAACATGTGTGAGGAGCTGATTTATAATCAACATGCTCTTGGAAGCTGTTTGTCTGCTAACAGGCAGAGTATAACTTTTATTACTTCGACCACTTCTTGGAACACGTTTCACCAGGATCCTCCTCCCTGGACTTGGAAATGTTTAAGAATAAGCTTTAATCAAACACGCCAGGCTTTGTATGCAAATTAATGTCGCACAAAAACAAATGAAAGAGAATAATTAAAAACGTTGGATTAAATCAAAGATAACCAGAGCTGAACTTTCGACTCTCCTCTTCAGGAATAACTGACAGAAGCAGCTCATAAATGGATGCTGGAGTGGTGCCATGAGAAACACGATGCAGCAAACATGAACAAGTGATGAGTGACAGCAACACTTAATTCTGCTGGCTTCTTTTAAAATAGATTGGTGGCTTGAAATTCGTGACTTGACAATTTCAGGTTATATAACACAGCAGACACGACATAGAAGTTTTTAAAGTCAATTTTCTAAAAAGCAATAACTTAAAAAAAGCAGATTCTTTTGTGCATCAAAAATCAAAGCTCATGTCACGCAAGATGTTAGCCTCTGTGTCTGTCAGAAGTTTATACACAAACAGGATGATGATGGAAAAGGGGAATAAGTGTATCAAAAGAAGAATCATTAAATTTCAGGGGCAGGGATCTGAGCCACTAGATCTGACTTTGAGCTTTGTTTAATATCTGACTTGCTTTTAAAATCAGGGAAACCTTCTCTTTGCAGCATTTTATTGCACCCTAATAACCTGTTTACATTCCCTTGGACTTCACTCTTATAAATTGGTCACATTCTCCTTTAAAAAGCTTCTGCTTACTTTAGAGACATTAGGGTATCGATGAAGATGTGTTGAAACAGTAATGAACGTTACATTAATTAATCTTATGGTTGTGGTCGTGTCTTACATGTTGCCAAGTTCCTCAACCTGTCCAGTGATGTAAGTACAATTCTTGATAGACAAATAAACCAAACAGGTTCTGTTGTCCCTGAGTTAAAAAAGCCTCTATAATTCTGCACTCGCTGAATAAAGAAAGATAAATCAGATCAAGTATTAACCACAGGTTCTCTGAACAAAAACCCGCTATAAAGGAAACATATCCTGCTTTTAAATTGTTCTTTTTCACATTTAAATCATTCAATTGGGATCTTTATAAAGTGGAACAGCGAAACTTTGCTCTGAATTCCTCCTTATTGTAGCTCCACAAGCCCCTCTTTTTCCTTTTCTGAGGTGTGTCTCAGATCAACTCTTTTTGACACTGTCTCTTAAATAAGGCACTTCTCACCCCGCCTTCCTTCAGCTTCAAGACCGATCCACTGCAGTTTGATAGAGGGGTTTACGACTATCTCGAGGAGCAGAAATGTTTTAATTACAGATTAATTAAAAGATGTCAACAACAGAAGACTTGTCCATCCAGCCTTACATGTTGGAACTCTGACCCTGAGCCAGAAAACAATGAAGACGACAAAATTGTAGTTAGTGAGTCCAGACCTTATTTAGCAGTTTCGTCACAAATAATGTAATGTAATAATTAAAAAAATTACATCATGGTAAACATAGAAAACTAAACAGGTTGAAAAACATGACCCAAACAGAATATAAAGATGTCTGTGCAGCACCAAGAGACATAATTAAACTTCTCTGCCCTCTAAGAGACTCCAAGTACATAATGCATTTAGCGGCTAAAAAAGTGGATTTTACAGGATATGTCTCCTTTAAGGATGAAGCAACGTGTAAAGAAGAGACAGGAATAAAAACCGGATGTAAGTGGAGTTTATTGATGTTTTTGTTGTCAACACATTGGCTTGTTTTTAGATGAATTAAAATGAAACCTTTCTTTCCTCTCAGATAAGATTTCCTGCTCTCAACTCTAAAGAAACATAAGATATGGTTTCATATGGTCATTCATTAATATTGAACAGAGCAAACATAATAACTACATGAATAAAAAAATAGCCTACTGCAATATTTTGGGATGTAATGTTTCTGCAGCTTGTAAGTCTTTAAAATCAGTTACAAACACAGAGAAATATAAAAACTAAAAAATAAACACAATAATCTCTGATTGGATAGTAAATTTCTGATAAAAATACAACCCAAACAATATGAGAATATCTTTCACATTAGGTTTGCCATACATAAATGTAATAATAAGTTAATAAGGATTTATAAAATAAAATAACAAAAGATTTTGGGAGCAATTAAACAACACATTAAGTTAAATCCTCATCTTCCTGAGAGTCATCTCTGAAAAAACTGGAGACAGTAAAAAATGATTGGTTTCTTGGAGCCTGCATTGTTAGCTCAATCTGACTTAAACTTGTGTAATAAGTTTGGACCAAATTGACAGGAAGCTAAAAGCAGATTAAAAGTGGAATGAATTGGGCCAGTGTAGTGTGAGGAAAGTATTCGCCTCCGAAACATGTTAACAAGTTGTACTCAAGAGTGCTCGTTTGTGAATGTGCTGAGAATCTAAGTGTAAGAGGGGCGGCAGGGAGCAAAACAACATAACCATGCCTCTGTGCCTTTTTCATCATTTATCTGGTTCAAAAGGATGGTTTAGTTTGATTATTTAAATATTTTTCTCCAAAACTGGATCTTGTAGAGCTATAAGTTAAGATGCATTTTCTACTTAATACAGTTATTTTCATCTCCACTGACAGATTTATGAGTCCTTGACTGTGCATGATATACAAAACACACAAGCAACCTAATGACAGAAATTTCTTAAAGGGACAGTGCCAAGTTTTTTAGTGAATCATCTTCTCGGATGCTGGAAAACAAAGTGGTTTCTGAGAAAACTGGTGATGTAGTTAAAAGAAAGAAAGGCTTGGCTTGAGGTCTGTTTTACGGATTCATTAGTTCTAACGTGCTTTAAAACTCACTTCAACACTTTGAGGAAAAAATCTACTGAAGATAAATTTTATAACTTCAATACGAAGCAAAATTATGCATCTATTAGCACAGAAAAC